CGAAATGTTTTTGTTGGTCCTCGAAAAAAAAAAAGCTGAGTTGATTCTTTTTCTTTTTTTCTATTTTTTTTTTTTTATTATGTGCGTGGCTGCGCTTTGTTGGTAGCTCTGCATGCATAATTTATCCTGACATATATACAGATGCAATGATAAAGGAGAGCATCCTGTGGAAGATGACAGGTAGAGAAATAAAGCATTTTCTATCATTGTGGGACGTTGTGTTTGTATTTATAATATAAATTAAAGTTAACAGAGCCTTTAAGTTTTGACATAAAGCCATTATGTTTATGTGTGAGCATGTCATACTGTATATTACACAGGCCTCTTCATTCAACGTGGGTGCTAGGACTGTGACAATACGGTCACAAAAATTCAGTATTTATTCAGGTGATGCATTTATTCTGATTATACAGTATGTGCGCACCAATTGGAGCAGAGCCCATGACCATTTTCACAGACTGTAAACATGCTGTGCTTACTGAAACCCCAGGAACTGTGACTGACTGAGAAATGTAACAAAAAACATACAGCATGCAAACTGCTGACCACGGGTTCTGAGCATTTACATTTCATATAACACTGCATCCACTTTTACTGTGATGAATAATAGAAAAGAATTAAATAAAGTGGGAAAATAGGAAGATTTTAAACAGTATAAACTATGTAAACAAAACAATTCTGAAAGCTGCCATGGCAATACAATCAATGAGAGCTTCTGCCTCTAGTGATCTTCATGAATATTTTCATCACGGCTTTGATGGCCATAACGGAGCAAACTTGTGGCTTGAGGAGCAATTCATCTTTGACAATATAATGCTCAGACATATACTTTGGAAAATTTGTCCTGTCTCATGGATTGTGATTTTTTCTCCAGCGAGAGATGTTCAGTCTTGTCAGAGTATTAGCATAACTTAAATCTCAGCATGTAAACAACTTGTTTATTTTGTTCTTTTGCACCTGAGGATGTGTCTTTGAGAATGATCCTTCAAAACTTGTCTTTATACTGTGAAATGTAAAACAAACAAACAAACAACAACAGCAAAACAGGCACTTTTGCATTTAATCAGTAGGTGTTTTCAACCCCCTGACAGATCATTTTTATCATGGATGTGTTTAGCCAGGATGTGATCAGTTGTAAACAACGATACATGTGATAACAGGACTTTTAACACCTTATTTCAGTGGTTCTCAACTATGTGTGAAGCCTGGACCCATGGTGGTTGAGCTGTCACTGACTAGTATCCCCGGTGACACAGCTGTGGCTGAACATGAGAAGCACATGTACAACTTGATGATGCATGTGAAGTGTTTACATTACACTGTGACAGAACCAGATCACAGTTCACTGTGTTTAATATATGTCTGAAAACTAAATCTAGAAAATACCAATATCAAAATCAAATCATACTGAATCTTCATTTAAAAATCGTTCACAGACTCCCTGTAATACCAGCACAGACCATCTGTGGTCACTGAATGCCAGGTAGAAAAACACTGGGCCTCATTCAAGAACATTTTCATATTCTTATTTTAATACAAATACTCCAAGTCGGACTCACCAGATGGCCTTAACTGCAGTGTTTCAGACTGATGACTACCTCTTGTTCATAAGCAGGTTAGCATTTTCTATGCCAAAATGCCTGAAATTGCCATTCTGTATAAGGTTACCTGTTTTGCAATGTTTATGGGAAACTTTCATTCACAAAAATATGATTCAAGTGTAAAAAAAAGAAGAATTTCACAGTGTAAAGCTTCATATCTGCTGTCAGGAATCAAAACAATTAGAGAATGCAAATATACGTCATCAGAGCAGCTCTGTACTGTGACAGAAGTATGTGGACTGGCTGAAGTTAAGTGCTAAGGAAACATCTGTGACTGTCTATGACTAATATGAGGGGCAGTCAGGGGGATGGCACTCACTGACATATAAGAGTAGAGAATGTTACGTCCTACATACCTGTAGGTGATGTTACAGAGACAGAGAGGCATAATATTTAACTACTGAAATGTAAAAGGTGCTGGACCACTAGGGAATTTTGTCTGCACTTCAGATAAAATTCTAAGCTGTCAAAACTTGCACTGTGACTGTGAGGTCAGTCAGTGGTACTTTGTGTTGTTGCTTGCTGTGTGACAGTGGCTATTTTAATAAACAGAAATCTTCTTTTCTCTGCTCATCTCTTCTTAGTGCTTCCCCCTTTCCACACACTCACACTCCACCCCTTAAAACAAACAAATCAAATCAAATCAAATCAAATTTTATTTGTATAGCGCCAAATCACAACAAAAGTCACCTCAGGACACTTTACAAAGTAAAGTCTAGACCTTACTGCTATCAATATTATTACATAGGGAAAACCCAACAAATCCTCCTTGAGCAAGCACTTGGCGACAGTGTGGAGGAAAAACTCCCTTTAACGGAAGAAACCTCCTACAAACCCCGGCTCTTGGTGGGCGGCCTTCTGCCTCGACCGGTTGGGGTGAGTGGATAGAGGAGAGACACAAGAAGAAAAGCAACAAGACACAACAATCAAACACTGATCAGGTCGATGTGGCTGGTGACTGCTCGTCAGAGACGTACAGCTCCAGGGCCAGGGCAACCTGCAGAAAGGTACAGGGAGAGAGAGAGGACACACTACTACTACTAGAGAGGAGACACAAAGTTAGTAATGTGTAATGGTGGCATATAGAAGCATAGGGAGAGAGAGGAGAGGAGAGGAGAG